TGCTCAACTTTCCCCGGCTGGGCTGCAGCAAGGTGTAAACTCCGGCGGCAGGAGGAGGGGATCCTAATAGCCCTTCCCTGGGCACGGCCCTAGGTGTTTTTTCCCTTGCAATTTTCCATAGGCTGAGAAGCCATGGGCTTCCTCTGTTGAACTTCTATCCATCCTTCAAGACCCATCTCCAATCTGCCCTGTTGAAGCCAGTCCCCTCTCCCTGCGTCTGCAGCCCTCTGCAGCACCGTGACCGCACAGCAACACTCTGTCTCTCTGTTACTTGGGAATAAGTTTCCTCCTCTCCTGGCCACCACAGGCCCTGCTCCTCCTACTGAACCACAGGTTCCATGAGAACAGAGAGAAAACCTCACGCATTTCCGTTCACCCAGAGCTCCCTGCTCAGGGCCCAGTGCTTGGGAGTTGCCCTGTGGCTATGAGGTGGAGTTGAACGTGGGCATGTACCACACCTGGCCCGGGGCGGCTATTAGTTGCTCCACCTCCTTAGTCCTGCCTCCCCAGAAAGGAACCCCTTAAAGCCCTCTAGCATGGTGGAGAGGCACCAGCTCTGAGGGAGCCCAGGTCTACGGCGGACCAGCCACGGGGTTCAGGGCTGCTCACTTAGCCTCTCCAGCCCTGCGCTTCCTTGTCTGAACAAGAGGGGCAGCAACACCCACCTGCAGGGCTGCCACAGGAAGGAGTATGAGATGCCAGAGGTGTCTGGTATACACCTGGTATATAATAATTGCTCAATGGGCAACCAGATTTTTAAAACAAGCCACGCACCCTTGCTGGTTCCCTCTCTTCACCTCCCACTCACACCTCCACCTGCAGCACTCTGGCTTTTCCCACGAGACTGCTCCTGCCAAGGGGACGAAGATCTGTGTGTCACCTGGGCCAGGGGACTGTCGGTCCTCAGGCTTCCCGACCCACTGCAGCACTGACCCCACCGACCGCCCCTCCTTCTCTCCTCAGTTCTCACAGTCTCCTCCTACCGTCTACGCCTTCTCAGCTCCTCTCCCACCAAGGATTCATGAAACCCGCATTCCTAGGGAAAGGCCCCCCTCGCCTCCCGAGCGCACTGTCTGTGGGCAGCCCCTCCCTTCCCAGGGCCCCAGATGCATGCATTTATATACTCAGTTTCCCCTGTATCCCAGCATCTCCCCTCGACTGCAGACCCAGGCACCCCAACTTGACGTCTCTGGACAGCCCTCCCTGGGCACCCTGGGCTCGACCCCCCTGAACCTGAACTGCCTTCTCTGATCTCCTCCATCTCAGGCCTCTTCACTCCCTGCACACTCTAATAGAAGCACCCCAAGCACATGCGCCTACTGCATTAGTTTCCTATCGCTGCTGTAACAAACTGCCACAAGCACACTGGCTTAAAGCAATACACATGTATTACTTTACAGTTCTAGAGGTCAGGAGTCCTAAAACCAAGCTGTTGGCAGGGCTGCCTTTTTTCTGGAGGCTTCCAGAGCCTACAGCCCTTCCTGCCTCCTTCCTCCATCTGGAAGGCCAGCAGGATAGTATCCTCCAATCTCTTTCTCTCTGACTCTGACTCTCCTGCCTCCCTCTTATAAAGATACTTGTAATGACACTGGACCCACCAGACAACTGAAGATAACCTCCCCATCTTAAGATCCTTGATCACATCTGCAAAATCCCTTTTCCCATTAAGGTAACATTTTTAAATTCTGGGGATTAGGATGCAGACATCTTTGGGGGGCATAATTTGGCCTGCTACACCTCCCTCCCTCCATCTGGTCCAATGCTCTGTTATTGCCCCAGTGACAGGGAAGATGCTGACCCACCCCTTCAATGCCCAGTGTCTCCATCTAACCTTCTAAGGTGACGCGGCATGGCCATCAGTGCCTTATCTCTCCTCTCCATTCAACCACCTCTTCAGCAGGACTCCCCCACTGGCTCCTTAAGGATGCAGGCGTCTCTCCGTACAAACTCCCTCGACTCCTCCTCTCTTTTATCTCTTTCTTCCACATCTGATCTTATCTGTCACCAAGCTTCTGAGAAATGACCATGCTTGGCCACCTCCATGCTAATCAGGTTTCCACGCCCAGTGCTCTCCTCCAGGGTTTCTGCAGATAATTCCCTTTTGGGGGACATAGTGTGCAATGTTTAGCAGTAACCTTGCTCTCTACCTTCTAGACGCTAGTAGCATACCCCTACCCTGAGCTGTGACAGCCACAAGGTCTCCAGACACTGCCAAATGTCCAGAGTGAGGGGCAGGGCTGCAAAACTGCCCTGGGTTGAAACCCACTGTCTTCTGGTAACAGCTCTTGCTAAAGTCACCAATGGCCTCTGTGGCACTAAATCCAAGGAATACTTTTCAGCTGTTCTCTTGCTCAGCGTTTCAGCAGAATTTGACACTGTTGGCCATTGTGGCCCTTAGGAACCTCTCTTCTCCCTTGACTTCCAGGTCACCCACTGCCCTGGTTCCCTCCTACCTCTCTGGATGCCCCTTCTCTGTCTCCTCTGTAGGATCAAGCTCCCCTTCTGGACCATGAGCTGCTCAAGTTCTTCAAAGCTTAGTCCCAGGCCTGTCCACCTGTCACGCAGCCTGGTCTCCCCAGGTGCTGCCTGCCACACCCCTGGCCCCCCTGACTGCCTATGCACAAGGGACTCACAAAGTGACATCTCCAAACCTCCTCTCCAGCTCTAGACCTGCACATTCAACTGCCTACCAGACATCACCACTGGGATAACTTGATGTCACTCCAAACTCAAGTCCAAGACCAAAACCATGATCTATCCTTCAACCCAGCATCCTCCATTTCTCAGAGAAAGGCACCTTTACCAACCTGTTGGGAGAGGAACCTGCAGGTGTCCTTGACACTTTCCATTCCCTTACTTAGCCTAATTAGTCTATGTCCGAGTCAGACCTGTCACCTCTGACACGGTTCGCAAAGCAGTGCGCTTGTCTCCGTGTCTTTGCCCCCATCCCAGCCTCCCAGCCCCAGCTCCCACCACGGCTGACTCGGGGCACTCCCCAGCCCTCTGACTGGGGAGAGGGGAGTGGGCGTCCATGCCCGACCACCGTCCCTGCCGCCCCATCAGCTCTCCAGGCTGCAGCCAAAGTCACCCTTTCAAAACATAGATGTGACCAGGTCACTCCCTGCTAGCTCCCACTTAAAACAACCTGAAAGCTTCTCACTATTCCTAAAATAAATAACAAAACTTCTAATTTGGCCCGCTAGGCTCTACGTGGTCACGCCTGCATCTCCTCCAGGCCCCGTGCGCACCGCACTCTAGCGCACTGCCCTGTGTCCGGCTGCTCGGACTCGCCATGCTCTCTCTTGCCACGGGCCCTTTGCTCTTGCTGTCCCATCCACCCGATGGCCCGCTCTCATCCTCGCTTGGTGGGCACTCCCTCCCTCCAACCCCAGCTCAATGGCAGGAAGCCTTCCCCGACCTCTGGCCATATCACTTGCCTGGTTGCTCACTTTCTCCCCACCTCACTATCTCTCCATCACTTTGACAGCTGTAATTTTATGTGGACTTTTCCTGTTCTTGGATTACTCCATCTCCTCCACAGCAAACTCCACGAGGGCAGGATGTACATCCAGTCCGGCCGGCCATGTACTCCCAGGGCCGGCACGGGAGATACTCAAGAGCGTGTCTTTAATGAACGAGGACCTTGCACCCACCGACTGCCTTTCTCTAGTACCCACGTTCTCCCGTCTCTGGCTGGTAGCTCCAGCTTGGCTCCCACGGCGAGCTGTCTTTGGTAACCCTTCCTGCTCCTCATTTTGCATCCCAACCATCAATATATCTCCCTCCTAAACCTCTTTCACATCTGTCCACCTCTAGCACCTGAGTTGCAGCCACTAGCTTTTCTTCCCTGAACCCCCACCCTTGCCTCTTCCTTGGAATTCTGATTTCCTACGCTGCAATCTGACCGGGTCACACCTATGCTTGACAGGCATCAGTGGCTTTGCCTGGCCCCGGGACGGAGGATGCACTCACTGTGGCTTGTGAAATGCAGCGTGAGCCACCCCTGCCTTCCTCTCCTGCTGATGTCTGGCCACGCTGCCTCTCGGGCTCACTGCTGCCACCAGCCTGGACTTCTCCAAGTTCCTCTCCCTCAGCAATTCTGTCTGCATTTTTCCATCCCTCTTCCAACATGAGCTGTGATTCATTCTTCACGTTTTAGGCTAAAGAAAACCTACCCCAAGCCCCTCACTAGGCTAATAACAATAATAATGATAATTGATAGCCCTGTATGCTTACTAACTATAAGCAGAATCTTAGGAACTTCACAATATTGACTCATTTCATCTTCACCAACAGGTATTGTTATGCTTACATTACAAAACGGGCACAAGAGAAGTAAATGACTCGTCCAAGGTCACATTTGATAGTAAAGACCAAAGCTGGCTCACATTATAAACTAAGGCTCCAGGCCAAATTCTTGAGTGCTATGATCACTGCCATGCCCCTTTGTGCTATGTTCCCAGGGTGTCCTGTGTCCCCCTATTTGATCACAGTAATCACATGCGTACATTTTCAATGACTGTCTTCCCACCAGACCATCTGCTGCCTGAGTGTAGGAATTAGCCTGTCTTGTTGAAGGCTTTACCTGCGGCGCCTAGCCCAGTGCCTGGCCTTACGGCTTTGGAAGAAGGAAGTCGTGCTCTGCATCCACAGCCCCAGCTCCAAGTCACCCACCCTGGAACAGGGGTTAGGTAAACCTTTCATGAATGCCGCCAGACATACACACGGGGAAATCGCCCTGAGCTCTGCCTGGTGATTTACTGATCTGTTGACTACTGCCAGGCAGGCTCTCTCAGCATTGTCCTTGGACACCAAGGGTCGCAGCCACTCAGCCAGGGCAAGGAGACAGCCATCCCCTTGGACAGACCCATCATCCACTTGCCCAGGAGTGATGGCAGAAAAGCTCTAGGGCCAGGCGGGGCCAGCATACAGCTCCACCTGTTGGTTTCCTTCCATGTTCTCTGGAACCTCTCCCATGGGACAGCCCAGGGGACACTCACCAGCCACGAGAAGAAGCCAGCCGATTTGTCCTGGGCGGAGATCTGCCCCTCGTAGGGGCCGAAGATATGGCCCTTGGGGATGACCTCGTTTATGCATCGCACGTCATTCTCTCCACTGGCTTCCTTCACCACCTCCATGCCCTGAGGGATGGTGAGGGCCGCCCGGTCTGGGATGCCCACGGGCACTGGCGTGTCGGACACGAATACCGGGGGACCGTGGTTTGGGCACTCATCCACAAAGTACTCCTGGCAGGACTCGCAAACTGGAGGGATGGAGAGAGGAGGGAGGGCCTCAGTCGCTGCAAGTCAGTCGGACCTGCAGAGGAGGCGGTGGGGCTGGTGCGAGTCCCACCCAAGGACAGCCTGGGGCAGTAGAAAGCACACTGTGTGCGACTCCGGAGTCCCAGCCCTCGGCCTATGCCAGCCAGCCACAGGCCCCTGAGTCCCTAGTGGCAATAACCCATCACCCTCCCTGGGGGCTCAAAGTAAACACCTGCCAGTGCCAAGGAAGCCAGTCGACTCCTTTGTCTCAAATTTTAAAAAGTGGAAGAGTGAGCGTGGCTTTATAGTGCAATGAGTCTATGTTTGAATTTCAACTGCACTTCCATGAGCTGAAGGACTAAGGCGAGATACTTAATCTTCACTAAGATTCAGTGCCCTCACCTGGAAAATGGAGCCAACGACAGCCACCTCGATGGCTAATGATGGGGACTGACGGACGCCTGGGCCTGGTACGCTACAGGTGAGACCCTGTCGTTAGTACCACTGCTGTGGGTTCCTTAACCAGGGACAGGGCCACCAGGGTGAGGGGAGGAGTAGCCCCGAGCCTCAAGCTCCACTTACACCAGAAGTCCACTTGCTGGAAGCTTTTGGGCATGATGAGGTCACGCTTCCCCTTCAGTTTCTTGGGCTCAACTTCCATGGCTGAGGAGTCTGGTCTCCTAGAGCTGGCCGGAACGGGATCCAGCAAAGAAAGCAAAGAAGCCATCAGAGAGTGACAGCCCAGTGGGGAGAGAAGCTGGGGACAGACCTGGCCAGGAGGCCAAGGGGACCTGGGGCAGGCAGAGGAGCCCCAGCCAGCATGCCGCTCAGCGCAGGGCACAGCGGAAAAACTGCGGTCCTGAGACCTGGGCCCAGGCCTCTCTGGGCCACTGCGTACATTGTTCTGGAGCCTGCACCCCAGGAGCTGCCAGGAGCAGGGTTTAGGAAGGTGGGCAGGGAGTGAGAACTTTCCCCAGGGTCCCCAGCCAGCCCAGCCCAGACCTCCCTCCCTCTCCAGTCCCCACACGGGGGCCTCACCAGGGCTGGCCATACTCCTGGTCGCGGAGTGGTGAGCAGACCTCTGTCTTCACCACTGTCACCATGTCCCCTACGGCTGCCTTGGTCTGGGCCAAGCACTCCTTCATGTTCTCAGTCATTCTGTCCTGGGACGCAGGAGGTGGGACCAGCACAGGAAGAGGATCAAAGAGACAGGGGAAGAGGGGTGAGTGGCGGAGAGGGCAAGTGGGGGTCCCGCGGAGTCTGGTTACCCTCCCTGCCATCCCCAGAGGAAGCGCTTGAGAACACAGACAACAAAAACAGCTGTAGCCTGGCCAAGAGGAAATGCCATTTCTATCCCGGGCTGGTCCTGGGGACGACTGGAGCCGCCAGCCCCTTGGGGTCAGGGGCCTAGGGCAGCTCAGGCCAAGATGCAGAGCTGGGATATACAGCCTGGACCCCAAGACCAAAGGGCAAAGGGCAGGAGGGTCCCACATGAGCCTGGGCACAAAACTCTGCAAAGGGGAGCAAGGAGGGAACTCAAGTCAACTGGGGCCAAGAGAGGGGGCACCCAAAATGGGCCTTCAGTGCCTGGCAGGGTGTCCCTCACCCTGGGGCTGCCAGGCCCCTTTGCCAGCTCAGAGCAGGTACAGGCGGGGCCTGGTTACTGCTGGTGCAGACCGGCCAGGGCCAAAGCCCCCACTCAAGCCCCACCCGGTTCTCTCTAGGGGACTCTCCCCAGTCCCCCGCTTACCGCCCTCCACCATGCGCCGGGTTTCAGCCCCTCCCTCGACACCCCAGGGTCCTCATGCCAAGCCCAGGGATACTCTTCGTGGCTGGGGTGGCACGCCGCTCGGGCTGGCACCGCGCTGGGCCCCGGGACTGGGCGAGCAGCGTGTGTGACTCACTACCCGGGGCCCCGCTGGCCACACCCCTGCTTCTCGGCTAATCAGCCCCTTGCTCCCCACCGGGGCCCCAAAGCCGGCGGCTGGGAGGGGTGTGGGGAACCACGACGGCCTGCCCCCTCCTCCGAGCGCTAGCGCGGGGCCGGGGGCGCGCGGAGGGGGCGGGGGCCGCCCGGGCCGGCCGAGCCTCCCCCGCCCCCAGCCCGCGAGCCGGGAGGGGCGCCCCGAGTGCGGGGCCGCGGGACAGCGTGAGCTCTGGGCGGCGCGGGAGGCCGGCACGGGCCGGGGCGGGCGCGGGCCCGCTCGCTGCCTCTCACCAGCCTTCCCGGCGGGGAGCTCCTGCCCTGCCCGCCCGGCCCTGCCCAGCGCCCGCCCCGCCCGCCAGGCCCGGCATTCCTTGCGGGGGCATGTGGCTTCTTGCCGGCCCCGGGGGCACGCAGTTGGCTGGCGGCCGGGAGGGGCGCGCGGAGCGGGAGGAAGCGGGCGGCGGGAGGGGCGGCCGCGGGAGGCCGCTGGAGCCGGGCTGCGCAGGAATTCCTGGGCCTCCTGCGGGGCTCGGCCGGGGGCGCCTGGCGTGGGCGAGCGCGCCGGGAGCCAGGGCCCGAGGCCGGCGGGGGGCGTGAAGGGCGCGAGCGGCCCACCGCGGCCGGGCCCCGAAGCCGACTCGGCCCGCGGAGGCGACTGGGCCTGCTGTGCCTCGGCGCAGACACCCGACACCCAGCTCCGGAGCGCCGCAAGCCGCTCCCGCACCTGCGCGGCCGGGTGGGCACGGGCGCCGCCGCCGCTCCCCTGCCCGGGCAGCGTTATGCCCGGGGTGCCTCGCTTGCTGCTAGGCCGACCTCGAAGCCTGTGGGATGGTCCCGGGCCACCCGCGAGGGGACAGGGACTGGGGGCTGGAGATGTCAAGTGACTTGCTCAAGGTCACGCAGACCATGCCTGATGGCTGGGGAGCGCTCGGTAAATTGGAAACAGGAGAACCCCGAAATCCAAGCGTATGTTTCGGGCCCGGTTCACCTCCATGCAGGATCCTCAGCGCAGTTCTCTTTCAGAGCAGTCACGGGGATCGCCCTGGCAGGCTGGGCGGGGGCAAGGCCCTGTGGACTTGCAAGGGATCCGCGAACGCCGCCCCCTGCCCTGAAAAGCAGCCCTCCCTCGGATGGGCGGTACTCCCACACAGCACTCCCCGAGGCAGCAAAGCCTAGTGGTTAGGAGCCTGGGCTCTGAAGAGGCGCTGAGTTCAAATCCCACCGACTGGCTGTGCAACTCTAGGCAGGCATTGCGGACTAAATCCTGTGTCCCCCGCCACCCCCCCCCCAAATTCCTATGTTGAAGTCCTAACCCCTCCATGTGACTGTATTTGGAGACAGGGCTGTGAGGAAGTAATAAAAGATAAATGAGGTCATAAGGGTCAGGCCCCTGGAAGAAGAGGAAGAGACACCCGAGCTCGCTCTCTCCAGCATGCGGGAATGAGCAGCGGGAAGGCAGCCATCCATGAGACAGGGAGCCATCGCCAGGAACTGGATAGGCCGATACCTTGACCTTGGGCTTCCCAGGCTCCAAAACTGTGAGAAATAAATGTCTGCTGCTTAAGCCACCCAGTCTGTGGCATGTTGTCATGGCAGCCTGAGCCAACGAATACAGCAGGCTCTGCCTTCTCTGTCCTCCCGTCTTTCTTCATCTTGAAAATGTCACTCACAGATTCTGTCACAGACATGGCTGCATTATCTGGAAGTGAGTTTGGAGGGGCTAGACACAGTCTCTGCCCATCCTACTGAAGACCGTCGAGGGGTGGCTTTGTTTTCTCTCCACTGAATTACATTTATTATGAGCCAATCACTTGCAAACGCTGGCACTGTGTTAGAACTGACTGCTGAGGACTGTTTTGCATGGGGCGCCCCGCTCTGGCCTCTCTGCCCTCAACCAGCCCCACCTGCATGCCATGCGTCATCCTGCCACAAGGCCTGTGAACTCACTGTGGCCTCACCTGAAACACACCTGGGAAACGGCCACTCATCCTTCAGCCCTTATTCCCCCCACCCCCCTAATACCCTCTCTCAGCCCTCTGTCACACTTCATGACACTGGTCACACTTACAAGTCTTTTGTTAGCATGATTATTTGCTTATTACCTGTTTGCTATGGTAGACTGTAAGCTCCCCAAGGGCAAGGTGCAGGCCCCTTGGTGCCCCATTGAATTGCCAGCACGGTGATGGTGCCTGCCACCAGGGCCAAGGCTAGGGAGGACAAACCAGGCGCTATGGCATACACTTTAAGGAGGCCCTCACTCTCAGGGTCATGCACTGGCAGGACTGGCCCCTGAGAGTGAGGGCCTCCTTAAATTCTGCACCCTAAGTGCCTGGCTTGGCTCCCCCTCCTCTCAGTCTTGCCCAGCGTGTAACATAGTCTCAATAAATATTTGCCAAATGAAGTAGTGACCCAATGACCCACGTCACATTCACTGCCCTCTCTAATATGTCCCGCTGGTCCCACTGAGAATCTCAATTCTAAGAGACCTGAGGAGGAGACACAGGGTGGGTGGGTTATCGTTTGGAATCCTCTTTCCCATGGGGCTCTCTCCCAGTGAGCTCTGCCAGGCAAGGTAGGTGGCATGAAAGGCTGGCAGGGTGGGAACTGAGGGTGGCGAGGTGCACTGGAGGGTATGATGGAATTAGACTCGAGAGGCCTGGAGCCTGATTCTGCCAAGCAGCCGAGAAGCGTAAGCTGTGTGCCAGGGCACGCCTCTTACTCTCTAGGCCTTGGTGTCTTTCTGGTAAAATGGAAAGCATCATTAATTGCCTGGTAGTCCTCATGAGGAACAAACGAGAGAAGAGGGACTGGAAGGGGAGTAGGGAAAGAGAAGAAAAGTAGGCAATAGTAAGAGAATAAAGGATGGAGGTGAAGAGGGGGAGAAAGTGGGGAGGGCAAGGAGACAGAGAGAAGGACTGAGACATACACACATTTTTCTAAGTCCTAAATTGTCACCAGCAGAGCATCCCCTTGTGGAAAAAGCATGTGTTTGTATCTCAAAGTAGAAATGTCTATGGGCTACTTGCTTTCGTGTCTTATGTCTCACTTACACCCCACCTTCATCACATGAAAGATGTGTAATGTTTTATAACAAACGCCTACTCAACAGGACAGTTAGAAAACAACCAGAAAGAATGTCATGGAGAAAGAGGGGTGCCGATTATATCAAGAATCTGTTGTAAGATGGTTAGCAATTGAGCTTTCCATTCAGTTCTGAGCCTCCTGGCAGCCAAAGCAAAAAAGGAGACATGATGGGTTACAGAGTTCTATTATTTGACACCAATTTATTGACTGTATGCATAATTAAGTTCTCTCCATAACTGGAGGAGTCTAGCTGCCTGGAGAACCCGGACCAAGCCTTACTAGTGTGACTGATGTGCATTATAATCCTCAAGTGGCCCACAGACGTCTCCACTTTGAGATAGAGACAGACAGACTTTCTGGGTCTATAATAAAGGTTGTAGGGGCAGGGAGATAGGAGATGGGATGTGGCAGGACCAAATGAACTTCCACTGGGGAGAGAGAGAGAACAGGGGTTGGTGTCCTTCATGGGATCCATCTCAGCAGGCACGAGAAGGTCCGGGCCAGGTGAAGCCCGGGGAGCCTTTTCTGCAGACTGCTCTGGCCCTACTTGCCTGGCGGAGGGCCTGGGGGAAGGGTGGTCTGCAAGCCTCATGCAGGATTCCAAGCTGCTGGCAATGCTCCCTGTCAGCCGGCTCCTCTGAGTCTGCACATGCAGAGATTAGGCTTGTTGCAAACCCAGCAATGAGATGCAAACCCAAAAGGAGGGGGCAGAATGCAGCCCAGGAGCCTGCAGCTCTGTTTTCACCCTTGGCAGGGTGCCGGGATCCTGGAATGCCCGGCAGCCAGTGTAGCCAGGGGACTGGGAATCTGTGCCCACTTGGCTTCCCTAGAGGCTGGCACCATGAGAAGGAAGGTTGACTCTGGTACCCACCACAGCATCCTCTGTTGTTGCCCATGATAACAAAGGGGCAACAGGGACCTGGGCTGGGTCTCCCAAGCCCTGGGTCTCAGTTCTGGCTGTTTCAGTGGCCCTGGGCAAGTTTCTGCCTTGCCCTCAGTGTCCCCTTCCTGAAAAATAAAAGGCCCATGAAATGGTTCTTAACAGTGAACCATGGAGGTGGGGGGCCTGGGCTTGGAATTACGACAGGGAGTTATTGCAGGTCCGTGCTCAGCAAGCCTATGAAGCCTGTAAAAAGAATAAGTTATATGTCT